GGACCGGTCCTTGGAGAAGGACATCATGCTTGGTAGGGCAGAGGGACAGGGCAGGAGGGGAAAGCCCCCTATGAGGTGGATTAATTCAGTGACTGGGGTAATTGGGGTGGGTGTATCGGAGACGGTGCAATTGGCCCAGGACAGAGCAGAGTTTAGGGCTGTTGTACATAGGGTCACTATGAGTCGCAAGTGACTCAACGGCACATAACAACAACAACCACAACAATTTTGGTATCCATGTGCATGTCTTTCTTATGATTATACAACTTAACGCTGTTCTAATGGCATTTTTGTTTCATTCATGTCATCTGTGTTCAGTAATTTGAATCTATAAGAAATAACTCTTCTAAAAGTGCAACAATGAATGACTGGGAACTCTAAGTCTCTGCAAACTTTCATTAAAATTAATAACAGCCCCCCAAACCCAAAAAGAAAGAAAAAAGGGGAGGAAAGCCCCGAAATAACTCTCTCTTCTCTCCCAATTAAGTTGGTTATCACATTACAAAAAGAATGAAGCTAGTGGTAGAGTAGAGTCAAGCAAAGTTCAGCTTCTGAGAGAAGCGTGAGCCATTTCAATGGTGGGGAATTGAGTTTCTGCAGGAAATACACTGAAGAAACAAAAATGCTCCCAGCTCAGTTGGTTACAACAAGGCAAAACCTTTAATAACATGAGTGCTTATTATTACATTAGCTGCTTTGGGGCTCCAGTATCTTTGATTTCTGGTCACGATTTCCTAACACGTCAAAGTGAATGCTTCCCTCAGGGCCACCTGAGTGGCGGTTTCCTGAGGATTTGTGTGAGTGGACAATGGGGGGCTACTGTGTGACTCACCTGAAGGGGATTCAGAAATCCCCTCACCCCCACCCCGCAAGCAACTGCTCTCAGTCAAATCCTCTTCAGAGGAGGGAAACGTGGAGGTCCTCCCAGTAAAGAAGGAAAAAGGGCAACATCTGGCACAGATACACAGAGAGAGGAGGGACAGTATGGGACTGGCTTGAAAAATAAGAGAGGAACAGAGGGCCTGGGGCTTGGAGGGTTCAGGGTCAAAGGGAGGGCGAGGGCCGAGTCCATTTGGTTTCATTCTTTAGAAAAAGTAATACCATCACTTAGGACCATGCCATGCAACCTCAGAGACCTCTCTGTGCACTTCCCCCAAGGTTGTGCTGGGCCCGGGGTAAAGGTCAGAGGTCAAGTTCAGACGGGCGTGGTGCGCCTGTTGGCTGGATTGTTATGCAGCGATTCTTTGTACTCTTTGGGAGTGGAGTTGTGGAACTGTAGAAAAGTGTGGTCCCGGTCGGAGTTGAGGAGGGTCCCCATGGTGATCTTTGAGGGGTCCCGGGAGAGTGTGAACATGGAGATGTCGGTGGAAGGGATGGTGTGGAAGCCTTTGCTGATGGGGGACAGGTCTCGGGACCTGGGTTCTGTGGAGCGCGAACTGGACCGCCTCCGGAATCTGTATCTATAGGGGGGGAGGCGGGCAAAGCTGGATCTCTTCAGGAGCTCCGAGTGCGATTTGGCGCGCAGCTGTTGATGCTTCTCGATATAGATGTGGACGGCCACGACCCCCACGATCTCGGCGATGATGAAGGAGAAAGCTCCGAAGTAAAAGGACCAGCCGTAAGAGTAGCTTTTTTTGGAATCCCGCTGCCCAGGGTCTCCGGCGTTTGCAGAGATATAAACTATGATGCCGATGATGTTGCTTAACCCTATTAGAGTAGAGAAGAAAAACAAAAACACATTGGGTATAAGTCTCAGAAGTGAACTGTCACTTTCGATCTTGAAATGTTGATGGGAAAGGTGAGGAGAGGAGGAGGAGGAGGAGAGAGAGAGAGAGAAGAGAAGAGAAGAGAAGAGAAGAGAAGAGAAGAGAAGAGAAGAGAAGAGAAGAGAAGAGAAGAGAGAAGGGAGGGGAGGGAAGGGAAGAGAAGAGAGGAGAGGAGAGGAGAGAGAAGAGGGGGAGAGGGAGAGAGAATGAGAATATAAATGATGGCTGGGAAATTCGTCTACAGAGCTCTTCTTGCATGATCTCCCTCCCGAGAAATAAAGAATTCTACTGCTCCGTCCCAGGCAGTGTGTGTTCAGCTACAGAATACATCCTCCTCTGACACAAGTGTGGCCAGAAACCAGATTGAATTTCCCCTTAGAGACTATTTAGTCCATCAACACTTAATCTTTGGCTCTAAGTCATGACGATAGTAAAATGAGCAAGATACAGGCTCCTGCCCTTGAGATTCTCACCACTGGTTAACAAAGCTGACATGGAAATGCAATTATAGCAGGAGGCAGCAAGGGTTCTGCTGGAAATTATATATATATAATGGTTCAGGGGCAAAAGGAGAGAGAAAGACTAAGCTGTCTCATGTTGAAGTTGAGAGGAGGTTTGAGGTAGGTCTTGAAAATTGAGTAGGGATGATCTGGCTGTGGGCGTGAGAGGGAAATGGGACTCACTCGCAGTAGAGTTCTAGCGTGGATGAATAGGGGGGTGGCAACCTGACAGAGAGGCAGCAGAAAGACAAGTTTGGAGAATAAAAGTTTTGGACACCCAGAGTTGGACACTTATGATACAGTCCAAACTGAACTGCCTGTTGAATATATGTATATATATATGAGTTTGGGTTTGTCATTTGAAGAACCAGTGAATCCATGAGGAAGGGATAGCAGTTGCTAATCAAGTCCACTATTTTTATTTTAAATGTAATTCCAGTGAAAATTGACTAACCAAATTGGCTTTCCAACACATCAATTCTTTTGTATCTGTAAAGGATACAAGAGAGAACGCTTTAGATGAGCTGTCATTTGAAAATTAAGATTTGCCACACAGAGAACTGTTGTCCTCAGTAGACAAATGCTGCATACTTGGCTTCCCCAAGGGCCAACAGAATAGCACTGGAAATAGTTGCTCAGGCAACTGTAGAGAAATTCACTCATGAGGGAGTGGTAAGAAGAAGTGATGAAGCTCTAGAACCCAGGGTTTGTGCTCATCACTGTGCATTTTTCTTACATTATTGCTCCAAAGGGAATGTGTGTCTTTGGTTCACTTTGCTTTAAGAGCCTCTGACAGAGCTCTGTGCCGCCAATAAACCATGGAGATTGGTATACCAGGTGACATAGCCTTGCCTCCAAATTTAGGATACATTTTTTTTTCTTGTTGGATTCCATCAAGTTGCTACAGACTCATGACTCCATGTACAAAGGAATGAAGCATTGCACCATCCTCACAATCTTTGCTAAGTTCAAGTCCATTGTGAAAGTTACTGTCCTGTGCCAGTCCAACTTGCTGAAGGTCTTCCTCTTCTTTGTTGTCTTTACTAAGCATGACGCGCCCCCCCCAAAAAAAACCCTGCCATCCAAATTTCTTACATAGATAAGTGCATGCTTCCAGCACTGCTGTTGCTATGTGCTGTCAAGTCACTTGTGACTCACAGCAACCCTGTGTACAATAGCTCTGAACTCTGTCCTCTCCTGAGCCAATCTCACTGTCTCCACACTCCTGCCCCCGTGTCCCCAGTCACTGTGTCAATCCATCTCCTCCAGGAACTATCTCTCCACCCTTCAAAGCATGATGTCTTTCTCCAAAGATTGGTCCCCTCTGGCAACATGCCCAAAGTATATAAGATGGAGTTCCAGAACCCTTCCCTCCAAGGAGCAGTCTGGTTTCACCCTTTCCAGAACAGATCTGTTTGTTCTCCTGGCAGTCCACGGTATGTCCAACACTCTTCTCTAGGACCACAATTCAAAGGCATCAATTCTTCTGTCATCCTTAGTCTTTGTCCAGCTCTCTGATGTATAGCAAGTAATTGTGAAGACCATGGCCTGGATCAAACACACCTTAGTCTCTAGACTGACATCTTTGCTTTTTAGCACTCTAGAGAGGTCCCTGACAGCAGACTTTGCTAATTCAATTCGTCTTTTGATTTCCTGGCTACTGGTTCTGAGAGTGTGGATTGTAGACTCAAGCAAGTTCAAATTATTGACAATCTCAATCTCTTCTCTGTCTATCATGATGCTGCCAATTGGTCCAATGGTAATAACCTTTGTTTTCTTGATGTTGAGCTTCAATCCATATTGAAGACTACAGTTTATGACTTTCTGCAGAAGATGCTTCAGGTCCTCATCAGTTTCAGTGAACAAGGTTGTATCATCTACATAATAAAAGTTGTTGATGAATCTTCTTCCAATTCTAATGCCACATTCCTCCTAATAAAGATCAGCCTCCCAATGACCTGTTCTACATGTAGATTGAAAAGGTATGAGACAGAATGTAGCCTTGAAGCACTCCTTTCCTGATTTTGAACCATGAAGTGTTTCCTTGCTGTGTCCTGACAGTTGTCTCCTTGTTCAAGTACAGGTTTTGTATGAGCATCATAATGTGTTCTGGGTTTCCCATTCGTCTCAAGGTTAGCCACAATTTGTTGTCCCAGCATTACATCTGTGTATTTTGAAACATCTCAGTAGGTGTCCTGTCAATTCCTGGACTCTTAATCTTGAACAAAGCTTTCAGTGTGACTTTAATTTCTTCCTTTAATATAAATTCTTGATCATGTGCTATCTCTTGAAAGGTAAATGTCTATTAGTAATATTTGGTACAAAACAAGGAACTCATGAAATATTATACAAAAATGGATGACTCTGGAGGACATTCTGATGAGTGAAATATCTCAGTCACAGAAGGACAAATACTGCATAGTGCCACTGTTGTAAAATGGGTTGGGGAGAACTTTAAAAAAGAGGGGATAAATAATGTGCCTTGCATTGAAACAGATGGAGAGAACTGTTTAAGAGGGATATATGATTAGGTATTATTGTCATGATAGGAGTCCAGAATGAAGGCTGCATAGTGAAGTGGACATGGTGGGAGGGATTGTATAACAATGAAAGAATTTTTCTTTTACTTTTCAAAGAGAAGAGCAAACTAGGGTGGGGGGCAGGGAGAAGAGTGCAACAATGAATGAATGGAAATCCAAAGTCTCTGTAAACTTTCATTAAAATTAATAATAATAAAATTATTTGGTGCAGTGACTATATTCTTTCCATTTTTTCCTTCGTTTTTTTTCCTCTCTCATGGCTATGCTCTCAGTCACCTTCCCACCTTGAATATCTGCCTATGTATCTGCCTGTAGAAGTTGTTTGTTATTATTGTAGCATTGTGAGTCGAATGATAATGACCTTTGTTGTCTTACTCTTGTCACCTCCCAATGATTTCCTTGCCTTTGGTCATGTTGTACTACCCCTGCCCCCTTATTTCCTTCCATCTCTATTACTATATGCCTATTTTCTTCTTTATGGCTTACTCTACTTTCCTTTCCTGTTAAACCTCTTTTTGACTTCTTATAATAGTTTTTGTTGTTTGTTATTATATACAGTTGAGTAGAAATGAACTTATAGCTGACCCTCCAGTGGGTTTTCAGAGATAACGAATCACATAGGAAGAGATTGCTCATTTCTACCATGGAGCAACTAATGAATTTGATCCACATGACTTTGGGTTGGCAGCACAGCTACCTACTACTAGGCTCCCAGAGCTCCTTTTAATGTTAATTGTTGTTTGTTGTTACGTACTATCAGAACTGACCCGAAGCTGATTCTTCAGTAGGTTTTCAGAGGCAGTAAACAGCATGGGAGGAGATTGCCCATCTTTCTCCCACAGAGCAGTTGGCGGATTTGAATCATGTACCTTTGCGTGGATAGCAAAATTCTTTACCATTAAGCCATCAGGCTCATATAAGACTTTATTGTGTGATTGACTTATTTAACTAAGTAAGTCTTCTGTATTATTATGTGCTATGTTAGCTTTTCCTTTTTCTTTGAAGTTCCCTAGTACTTCACTGTGTGTTAGTACTACAGTTCACTTTTATTCATCTGATGCCTGCAACATCATTCAGTATTTTGACCATAGAATCCTCCAATATTGCAACATAACTCTTAAATTATCTTCTTCAATTCTTTCAGCTTAAATATGGCAAGCATGCTTTTTTCTCTTTTGGTTTTCTAACTCGAGGTTGTTGTTCATTTCATTATAGTTATACTTTGCTTTGTCTTCTCAAACCATTCTTTGAAATCTGTTCAGTTCTTTTACGTCATAATTTATTCCATTTACTTTAGCTACTCTATGTTTGAGAACAAGTTTCATAACATCTTCTGATATTTGTCTTGATCTTTTTTAAAAAAATTCTTTTTTAAATTGGATTTCCGTGAAAGTTTACAGAGAGGATGCGTTTTCACTCATACCTTTTCCTTTCTTTTTATTTGTTTTCATCATGCGTGATATCTTTGACATCATCCTACCACTTGTCTGGTCTTCAATCATTAGTGATCAACGTGCCAAACTTGTTCTTGAAATGGTCTTCTAAATTCAGGTGGGATATATTCAAGATAATACTTTAATGTTCATGGACTTTATCATTTGTCTTCAGCTTCAATTAAACTTGCATAGAAACAATCATTGGTCTTTTCCATAATCTGTCGCTGGTCATGTGGTTGGTTTGATTCTTGTGTATTCTACCTGGTGAGGTACACTAGTGTATTCACCAGGTGATGAATAAAGGTATTTCTAATGAATAAACCAATGGTCTTGCAAAAGTTTACCGTGTAATCTCCTGCATTGTTTTTAATCACCAAGGTTGTTTCCAACTATTGAATTCCAATCAACAGCAATGCATCTTTATTACATGTTTAATCAGTTAGAAAATTATTTAAAATTCTATCA